CAGACAACACTTCAAAAATAAGTTAACTGAAGTCAGTGTGTCTGATTTAAATATCAAAGTAAATATATATGTTTTGGAATCTCGATGTACAATATAAACACAAGATGGTGAGAGCTTTGGCATTGGTTGTAGTAACATTGACATTTCATATTGTTATGAACAGGTCTTCTGTGAAATGTTCCAAGAGTCACTCTCTTTCTATTCTTCACAAATACTATTATCCTGGTGACTTTACCATTGGTGGCATTCTTTCCCAGATTTACATATTTTCCAATCTATTAAACTTTGAAGAAGATCCTTCTGCTGAAGTATTTGATTTCACCAAGTAAGGTAGACCATGTTTTTCTATTGGTTTGTAATTACATTATATTCTTAGTGAGCTAGTCTAACTAACACTAAAATTATTTCTCTGAATTCTTAGGAGACTTATTTGCAATACTTTCTTCCCAAGAAACTCTTCGCTTTTCCTTTCCACAGCTATTACGTTTATGATATCAAACTGGGGGTTTTCATGAAGACATCAATACATATAGGCTATTGGTGGTGATCATATATGTTAATCATCTCCTATTTTATATAGCTGTTATGTCATGCAAAAAGATTGCATTGAACAGCAACAATGGAGCATATGTCTTTAGATTTTGTATGTTTTTGGGAAGAGACTCTACTGACTAGAGTGAGCTTTTCTTTCAGTGATACCATCATGGAAATGCATAACAAAGTTTGTTCAGAATATTTTAGGAATAATTAGAATGAATGTTTCTAAAAGTATTTTATCATCAAGGACAAGAATTGTCTCCAAGGAAAAATATTGTTCTCATTTCATAATATTTTAGTTGATGCTTTAGCTATTAATACAATTGTGCCTGCTTATAACCTACAGTTTTTTTGGCAAGATGCCTCAGAATATTTGTTATCAAGCCAGGATAATGGTTTGAATATAAATGTGCTCCAACTATTTAAGAGAACATTTTTATTGCTCCTTCCCTTCTGCTTCAGAATAATACATGTTTCCCTATGCTGGAATTCACTTCTTTGGCATTATATAAATGTCGTTTGATTTTTAAAAGTGTTCATATAAAAATGCTACAAACAAAGCATCTTAGACAGTTGTCTACAGAATTACTGCATTAAAGATTGTACTAAACTCATCCCCAATGAAAGTTTCATCTTTCCAGTGATTCTCATCCAAGTTCTTTACTGTCAATTTTTTGTCCTCCTGGAAAACCATAGCACAGAATGATCTCTTAGCTCTCCTAGCCATGGAGCTAGAGATAAAGCAACAATTCAACAATACAGTAGGTATATGATATTTCCCCACAGCCTAGGTGTTCACAGGATAATAAAAATATACCTTCATGCCAGAAAATTACCTATCCAATATGACTTGTCCAACAGATGGTAGAGGTCCCTCTTTGGTGAGATTTAATGTATTGCCACTTCAAACATTTTCAGGAAAGTTTAACAATATAGCTTTTGCAGAGCAAACTTGTCTTTGTGACTGAAGGAACCTGATAACATGCCCCACATGTTTCTTCAATGTCCTTTCTATAGCAAACTTCGTAACTACAGTAACCAACAAAAGTTCCATATGTTCTGAGGATGATCTTATTTTCTGGGTAGAACCTTAACTTCACCAAACAATAACCTTGCTAAATTTCTTAAAGTAGTGGGGGTTTTTTTCTTCAAGAAAGCATCAGGCTTTTGGGTTTATAGCTACAGAAAAAAAAATAATGTTATATTTTGACACACATGACTGATCACACTACACACTTCCTCAACAATTATTCAAGACATTTGGCAACATCCATGCAATTGTAAATGTTTAGAATTGATTTGGATACTAACCAGACCATTTTTTCCCCACAAAGTGATAGGGCTGAGATTTAAACATTTAGAAATTCAATCAATCAATCAGAATAGAGCTGGAAGGGACCTTGTAGGTCTTCTAGTCCAACCCTCTGCTCAACCAGGAGACCCTATGCCATTTTAGACAAGTGGCTGTCCAGTCTCTTCTCAAAAACCTCCAGTAATGAAGTACCTACAACTTCTGATGGCAAGCGTTCCACTGGTTAATTGTCATTATCAATATGTACTTATGGAATTCCAATTCATAATGAGTTGTCTTTTCTTTCTGCCTTGTGGCACAGAAGTACAATCTAACAAATACAAATTCATGTATTTTATTCATGTCTTTTTTTTTTTTATTGAAAATTTTTAAAAGTTTTACAATATATCTCCCCCCCTCCCTCAACCCACCCTTCCCCACCCCCCTCCCTTCCCCCCGACTTCCCAGAGCTACACACAGGGTTTACAATACAATAATTATATTCT